TTAAAGTAATATATTTAGGTGCGAAATTGGTAAAATAAATTAGTTGTGAATTTTTTAACCACTTGAGTTGAGGTTCTATAAATATTTGTACAATATATTGTAAAATATTTAAAAGATACCCGTACAGCACAATACTTTTCGCGAAGCGATCAAAATTCGAACATAGTCATAATTTTTTTTTTATTGATAACATCTAAAGCATGTCATTAGCTACTACAGAAATAAAAAAAACTAAAAAAAAACAGTGAAAAACAGTGATAAACAGACAATAAACACTAGAAATAGACATAACCTTGTTACGTCCAGATTTCAATTCCAAAAGGTGAATAAATCCTTCATGGGTCTGGATATACGCCATATAATAAAATACCACAAAATGTACCAGATTAGCCACCTCAAAAATTTAAAGTTAAAAATTTAAAATATTTTAATGAGCAAAGCGTATAACTGTTCAAGAGTTTCTTGTTGATGGAAATGTGTGGGATTGAGAAATATTGACTCATATTCGCGCTATCTACATTGTTATGTTAATAAAATAAATGTAGTTTCGATATCTAAAAAATAACTGTTGAGTTTCTCGCCGGCTATTCTCAGCACAACTGCTTTCCCAGCCGGTGGTACCTTCCTCACGGACTGACTGCACTGACGCTTAAATTAAATTGACGATTCAAAAGTGCTTGTAATAAGTCTTATTGAATAAAATTTCATTTAATTTCAACAAAACAAACACCATTTGATAAATAGAGGAAGAACGATATTGAACTGTTTTGTCTTTATCTATTTATAGATTATTTATTACTTACATTATATTAAATAAGATTTACGTCCGAATTGAAAGTAATGTCTAGAAAATCCACTGAAAAATGTTAAGTCTGAATCACTTATAACAGAATTATAGACAGAACTATTTCCTATGAACGATTTGCACAGTCTGATGTCGGGCGCTTGAACGCGCTAAATATGTATGTACCTACTTACTATACTGCGAAATCGTCGCGTTGATACAATTTGCCAGTGTTGTTAAATTTCGTCACTTGGATGTTTTTACTAGCGATTTAACCTCACTTTGCTCGGATTAGAACGCACTCATACGCGGATTTTGTTCATAATTTAGTTTAATTTTCTTTTACCCTAATTCTTTTTCCAAAACGAAAGTAGCCTAAATTACTCTTTACAACATCAGCTATCTGCCAGGGAGAGCCCTGTCAAAATGAGTCTAGGCGTTTTGCAGATTAACCGAAACAAACAGACAGATAGGCAAAAAATTTAATAGTTGTTTTTTCTCTTATAATAGACCAATCGGAATCCGTTCATTTTTAAGAGAAAAAAAATTAAAACCTGAAGTAGTATGATTTTAAAATGTTAACAGGTATATAAGGTATAGAAATTCGTAAAATGCCCCCTCTGCCCAGCTACCCCCGAGAGATGGGGACGCAAAGCGTAGAAAAATAGTTGTTTGCAATTTCCGGCTTAATGTGACGTTCTATCGAAAAAAGTTTTCGAAAAAAGTTGTAGGTCTAGTAAAAATCTACAACTTTTATAAGTAACACTTTTTACGATAACCTCAAAGTTTTCGAGATATTTGCAAAAAAACTCGGTTTTAAACTTATTCTTGGTTTTTTATTTTCAATTTCTAGAATAATGATTTGATTTTCATGAAACTAAGGGAATGTAATTTTCAAAATACATTTAATAAACAAAAAAAAATTGAAATTGAAACGTTTAGCCTTTCTGAGAAAAGTATGTTTTATGGTCTCGAAAGGCTGAAAATTTTTATAAACTGATTACACCAATGTATTTTTCGGGAAGAAACGAAAAAAATGGCGTCATTAAGTTTTTTATTTGACGCTTATTATTTATACAATGTCGCCGTAAACATTCCAACTAAAATATTAAAAGTTGAAATTGACGTAAAGTACAACGCTATTTTTGTATTTTTTTGCCGTAGAATCTATTTGTATTATTATTTTTTTTAATTTATCGATATTTTATTAGTTTTTGATCGGCTTTGGAGTTAAATTTATTGATTTTTTCAGAAAAATTGGATTTTAAGGTAATTACAGAAAGAAATTCATTCATTCATAGTCTAATCTTGTTTATCCATTAGTTAAAAATATAACTTAAAAAAATTAAGTTGATATTTACAAAACTTAGTCATGGTCTTGTTAAAAAATCATTAATAAAATGTAAAAAATGAACAAAAAATATTTTTACCATATCATTAAAGTAACGGGATACAAAGTTTCAAATCGATTAGATCTGTAGAATTTGCTCATATCCTTTTACTGTTCAAATAAAAGCTGATAGCCTACAAAAGGCTAACAGATTTTCTTGATTTATACCTAAAAACACTCTCGATCGAGTCACCTTTCACCTTTCTAACAAAAAAAAACTTATATTAAATAAAATCAGTTCATCCGTTTGAGCGCTACGATGCCGCAGACAGACACACACGTTAAACTTATAACCCCTCTTTTTGCGTTGGAGATTAAAAAAAATATAAGGCATTGTTTTATTCTCTACATTATTTAAAACATAAAATTATTCGCTATTTTTACTGTGACATTTTATGTCTATATTTTTAATTCACGTGGCACTCATGTGATTGCTCCACTTAAACCCAATAAGAATATAAGAGCTACAATCGTGAATGACGAATGAGAAGTACTCAAATTGATAAATTGGTCTAGTCATGACTTCTAAATCGTTTATAACTCAAACCAGCATTGCCCGCGGCTCCGCCCGCGTTCAGATGACCAAAAAAAAATAATACTTAGGTTTTACATATTAGTATACTCTTACATTGCAGTTTTTATATTTTTTCTCCAAAATGAGATATTTTTTCGGTAAGAAGTATCCTATATATTGATTCGGATAACCAGCTATCACCATACCAAATTTCATCCAAATCCCTCCAGTGGTTTTTCAGTGATGCGGTAACAGACAGACAAAAGTTCTAAAAACTATAGTTTCGGCCTCTGTATCGATAATAATGTTTATTTCAATAAGATTTTCCAAAACATATCTAATGTACAGATTCAACTTGTAAAGTACTAAAATTGTAACATAGAACCTTGTAATAGTGAGCCAACGAATTATGTTCTTCAATATAATTAAACACGTGTTTTAGAATTTTTCAAAATTTAGCCCCTAAGGGGGTAAAAATAGGTGGTAAAGTCGGTAAGAAAATCTGCCATTTTAACTGTTAAAATTAGGTATTCAAGATAAAAATTAAGATATAGGTGCTTATTCGAAATTCACCTGAGAGGGTAAGGATGTTATCAGGGTCGAATTGACTTAAAAATCGGCAATAATACTATTGATGCTAAATTAGTCTGTGTGTGTGAGTTAAAACCCATATTAGACGAGTTACATGATTCTAAGTTCCTCAAAATTGTAAGTGAGTTCTTTTAGTGAACTCTCGTCCTCTAACTTTGCAAAGATGGAGTAGATAAATGTACACAAAATAGAGTTAGTTGAGCTTGCTAAATATTTGAAACGAAAATTAATTTACATAATAAACGTTAAATATCTTTTGAGATACTGGATATTTTGAGTTACGATCGCTAAAATTAAATTTGTTTTCCTTAATATCTTTAAGAAATAATATGAAACACGAACTTAATTTTGCAAATATTAAAATTTCTATTGCGAAAACGTAAAAAATATATTACAGTGTGTAAATACAATAGTTAGTAAAAACAATCTAATATTCGGTGGTACGGAGTCCTCGATGCGGAGTTAAAATTATACTCTTACTTTTGAAAATCATTAAATTATTAGTTATAACATAAAGCCAAAGAGTTTGATTTTTTTGCAGCTTGAACGCGGGCGAAGCCGTGGGTACTGCTTGTCTATACTAATATTATAAAGAGGTAAAGTTTGTGAGTTTGTGACGTTGTAAGGGGTAATCTCTGGATCTACTTAACCGATTTAGATGAAATTTGGTAAGAAGATAGTTTGAGACCCTGGAAAGGACATAGGATGTTTTTTTCCCGGAAATCATCCCTTAAGGGGTTGAAAATGGGGATGAAAGTTTGTATGGGGAATCAAGCTAGGGACGAACCCGAGCGAAGCGAGGGTGAGTCGCTAGTATACAATAAATGTACAGACTGTCTTTGCCGAGACAGATACAATAAATGTACAGACTGTCTTTATGTATCGTTATAGCAAGATTCGAAGTTGATATTTTAACCTTCACCTGAGACAAGTTTGTGCACATAATGGACAAAGCGTCTGCTATTTTAAGACATTACATAATACGACTATTTTAAGACTAATTAAAACAGTTGCTAAGAAACGTTGGTTTTTGTAGGTAGAATATTCAATTAAAATCCCGTTGAAATTTATTAACACAAGCAGACCGACATAAACGGAGTTTTTTTATAAATGTTATTAGGATATTCAAACTCATTTCAGAAACATTTTTCCTAGAGATATTAATAAGTATATAAATATGTTGGGACAATAACAAACAGCACCATCTGATTCCATGGTAAGCTACGAGGCTTGTGTTATGGATACTAGATAAATACACTACACATATATAACTTTAAATACATACACACATATAATAAATGCAGCGGGACTTGAACCCGTGACCGCTGGCACGATAATTAGGGTCTCTACAAACTTAGCCAAACGTGTCGTCAAAAATTATTATAATGTTAGCCTAAATGATTTGTTACTAATTTACAATATAAAGTAATGTTACTATTTGTTATACTTTGCTATTTGTTTTAGATGTTCAATGGCACGTTAAACGTGCAGTTCCCTATTATCATCAGTGTTTAATCTGGGGACACGGTAGTAGTATTTACTGTATGATTATTTACTGAAACTTTGAACTTTAATATATTATGTATGTTTAAAAATATAAAAAAGTTTCACTTTTCACATTGCTTTTTAGAGTCCTCACAAAGTATGTACAAAATTCTCATAAAAAACATATTTACACTTATCACTTATAACTATATTAGTATACCTATAGGCTAAAATTAGTTTTCTTTATCTCTTAACACTAATTCGACACGCACATTTTTCAGCCTTACTTGTACTTGTTCTTTTTGATATTGAATACCGCCCTCAAAAATATGTGTTTTAACAGAAAAATGTCGTAGTAAATGTACCAATCCAGATTTAGCTTGTAGCTGCGCGTATCTCATACCAATACACACTCTGTTTCCTTTACCGAAGGGCACGTAAGCTATATCTGCTATCAACGCACGATTCTCTGGTGAAAATCTATTTGGATTGAAATCTTCTGGATCGACATGATATTTAGGATCATGGTGCACTTCATATATTGGAGTAAAAATCTTGGTTCCCTTATCTATTTTAATGTTTCCAACTGGTAACACGGTGTCTCTAACACATTGCCTGGTTAAGAAACCAACTGGTGGATGTAAGCGAATACCTTCACATATCACCCTGTCCAAATACTCCATGCTAGTAACTGCTTCATATGTCAATTTTCCATCATATTTTTCAAATGTCTCATTTATTTCTTCCTGTAGCCGCTGTAAGTGCTCCGGATGCCTCCCTAATTCTACTAAAGTAGCAAACATTGCTGCAGCGGTCGGTTCAACGCCCGCTATAAAGAAGAAAAATGCTTGAGCAGCGAGAAGTTCGTCGGTAGGTTCCAACTCAAGTCCTGACACAGGTTCTTTTAGTAATCCTTTACTTTGCAGAGCGACGCAAATATCAGCAAAGTCGTGTTTTTTAACATTGTCAGATTTACGTTGGTGGATAACTTTTTTGATAGCTCCAATAAAGAAATCTTCATGTTCTTTAAAAAACTTTATATTCAATAATTTGAATAATGATTTACTTATATTTGCAATAGCAAATTTTATATTCCGTTTAAATCCTGCTCGAAGTGCATTTTGAGCTAAATTTAGAAAGGGAGAATCGAATATCGACTTAGAAGTCACTCCAAATACAGATGCACACATTGCTGCACTGCAAAACGTGGATAAATTTGTAAAAGTATTACCTTTTGCCAATTTGGCATCATCTTTTAAATATCGGATAAAATCTTGTACACTTTTATCAATAATATAATACATACTTTTGAGCTTTGCTGAAGTAAATAGAGGTGTCATACTTTGTCTCACTAATTTCCATTTTTCACCATGTTGGAATAGGATGTTGTCTGCCAGCAGATCACCTTCGTTGATTTCTACACCTCTATGATTAAAGGCATTGAAATTTTTGGATAACACATATTGAATATTTACAGGATCTCGTACATATAGCGCTGGTGTGAGAAATGAACCGATTCCCACTGCTGGTTCATTAGGATATTGCTTGTATATATCGTTAAGATATTCGAACAAGGATCTATTTTTGGTTAGATAATCCCAAACTATGCCAAATGTCTTGTTCCTATTATAGAAGGTAACTCCACGTTTTTTCCAGTACCTTTCATTGTATAAACCATTTAAGTAAATAATGGCTAAGATTGAACTAATAATGAAAAGGAGCGCAAATATCATTTTATGACACGTTTGTACAGTCTCGATATTATAATGAATATATAACTGAAAAAAAATCATATCTTTATATAGTATATCTTGTTCATTGACATATATTATGACTTATTTACTATACTAGTGATCTGCTCTTACTTGCGGTGTCATATATTTATTTCTACATCTCTCAGTAATTTTCAATCGCAAGGTGTTTTCATTATATATATAATAATATAGAATATGATTGAATTTAAGTGGTCAAAGTAGAAAATATTACTCATTCTGTCTTAGATAATATCTAATAAGATACTTATTGTTAGTTGAATGACTATACTTAAAAAAGATTATTATCTTAGGATGTTTTAATAAAGTAGATACCAACAAAACTTATGTCTTTATATAAGTTACTATACTGATCTATACATATTATAAAAAAATTAAGTCCCCACGACGCGTCTGTCTGTCGATCATCCATCATCAAATCCAAAATATCTAATAGCAATATCGTTCACGAAGAAATTTCAAAAAAACTTCAATGCTTTATCTTTACTCTTTATTATATTACTTCAATATTATCATTTCCTACTTTGTTTATAATAAAGTTGCCCCCGCAATGTGACTGTTTCTAAACTATCTTATCTATAAAATACACATAGAGCAAGATCAAAGGGCCACCAGACGTCTCGTATTTTTTGACGAATGAAATGTGGACGATTGGGTAATGTTAGTATGTACTAAGATCGCATGCCTACCTGCTAGCTTGGTGAGACAGCCAATTTCTAGGTATCAGGTAATCAAGGCACATTACTTACCTCACGTAAATTCTCCAAGCTGATTTTCACGCATATTTTAGACAAAATCGTTAAAAATAAGTCGTCAATACTCCCAGACACTTTTCGTTGGCCATATTGCTTTGCAGACGCTTTAAAGGTCCCAAAATAATTACTTAACTTCACGTAAATTCTGATGCTCCATTTTTATATATGTTCGCCAGACAACTATTTTAAAACCTTTTACAAGAAGACAGGGGCCAATCTTCCCCTTAACTCAATTTTACCTCTGTGGGTTGGAGCGCGAGGGCATTATCCACGCGCATGAGACTGAGTGAGACCGATTGCGTTGTTAAGGCCATAAAAACTGGGAAGATCAACTGTCTCCCTTCACAAAGGCGTGTAACGTGCTCGACCAGCTGGCAAACCAGGAAGCAGACTTCAACCTGACTCTCTGAACAATAAATGTTGACGCTATGAGAACGGGCTTTGAAAAGGGTACTGTAGCAGAACTTGTCGGGTGCTTAAATGCCTCCAACAAACAATACAATTTTTTCCAAGGACAAGTGTCAATAAATTATATAGACTAAACTCTGACGAGACCGTAGATTTTAGCAAATAGAAGTATAGCCCCATATCCAAATAAATATAATATGTATATTTCTATATTTCAAAATTGGAGCAACATGTAAAATCTTAATTTTGTAAGTCTTTCCGACTAGCAATAAATACAGTTAGTTATTATATAAATTTAAATTGTTTTAGATTCAAAATTTAGTTAAGACAATTTTACATTGATGATAACAGAAACATCACATTAACGTGTCATAAAAAACGCTCTAGAAAACAAATAGCAAAGTACGAAAAATGTAAGATTGCTTTACATTGAAAATTAGTCACAAGAAATTATGTATGCTAATATTATAAAGCTGAAGTTTTATAATTTCTATTTTCTTATTATGTATTCAGCCCTTTTTAATATCCCACAGCTGGGCACGGGCCTTCAATACAAGGGGGATCAGGATATAGTGGCTATTGCGGGTTTTCAGACTTCACAGATCTATCGAAAACTTGTCAATTTCTCTCAGACATGCTACTTTCATAACGATCTTTTCCTTCACCGTAAGACAAGTGGTAATCACGTTGGAAATGATTCGCACATGTAAATATCAGAGATGCGAGACTCGGGATTTGTTACCACTGGGCTACCACTGCCTTCTTATTTGATATATTATTTTCTTATAACATTTTTTTTGTTTGTTTGTTGATTGCACTAGTCTAGCTAATTCAATCGTATTTGAAAAAAATGTTTTTAGACTTTTATCTATCTATTTAAGATAAGTATAAGAAAAAAAAACAAATAACTTAAAAAAATAATGAAATATCAAAGAGAACACCTATCAATTTTAACTTAATTTATTTTAATAGCAATAGATTTACACATACATATCTATATAATTAAAAAACGTGTGTGTTTACTTATTTACGTACGTAAAAGTTATACTTTGGCATAACAGAACAAAAATAGCTAAATATTTCATCAACTTTATCATGTCGCTTTTTGACTGTCAGTGTGCGCGCGCATATTAAAAATTTTACTTTCATATTTTTTTCCAAACGTGCCAAAAGAAGTATAACTTCAAAAATATAAAATAGTATCACTTTTTTTACAATGTTTTTTTAGAATAAACAAAAATATTTTTTTCTCATATAATAGTATTTACATAAATCCATAATTGATATTATAACACTAATTCAAAAAAACACTTATCATTTACTATGTATTAATTATTAACAATATATATAATATTAAGTCAAAAATTAATTTTCTTCATCTCTTAACATTAATTCGACATCCACATTCTTCAACCTCACTTGTACTTGCTCTTTTTGGTATTGAATACCGCCCTCAAAAACATGTGTTTTAGCAGAAAAATATCGCAATAAATGTATCAGTCCAGATTTAACTTGTAACTGGGCGTATCTCATACCAACACACACTCGGTTTCCTTTACCGAAGGGCACGTAAGCTACATCTGCTATCAACGCACGATTCTCTGGTGAAAATCTATTTGGATTGAAAACTTCTGGATCGACATTATATTTAGGATCATGGTGCACTTCATATATTGGAGTAAAAATCTTGGTTCCTTTATCTATTTTAATGTTTCCAACTGGTAACACGGTGTCTTTAACACATTCCCTAGTTAAGAAACCGATTGGTGGATGTAAGCGAATACTTTCACATATCACCATGTCCAAATATTCCATGCTGGTAACTGCTTCATATGTCAATTTTCCATCACATTTTTCAAATGTCTCATCTATTTCCTTCTGTACCCGCTGTAAGTGCTCCGGATGCCTTCCTAATTCTACTAAAGTAGCAAACATTGCTGCAGCGGTCGGTTCGACGCCCGCTATAAAAAAGAAAAATGCTTGAGCAGCAAGAAGTTCGTCTGTAGGTTTCAATTCAAGTCCAGACACACGTTCTTTCAGTAATCCTTTACTTTGCAAAGTGACGCAAATATCAGCAAAATCGTGTCTTTTAACATTGTCAGATTTACGTTGGTGGACAACATTTTTGATAGCTCCAATAAAGAAATTTTCGTGTTCTTTAAAAAGCTTTATATTCAATAATTTGAATAAAGATTTACTTAAATTTCCAATAGCAAATTTCATATTCCGTTTAAATCCTGCTCGAAGTGCATTTTGAGCTAAACTTAGAAAGGGAGAATCGAATATCGACTTAGAAGTCACTCCAAACACAGATGCACACATTGCTGCACTACAGAACGTAGATAAATTTGTAAAAGTATTACCTTTCGCCAATTTGGGATCATTCTTTAAATATCGGATAAAATCTTGTGCACTTTTATCAATAATATAATACATACTTTTGAGCTTTGCTGAAGTAAATAGAGGTGTCATACTTTGTCTCACTAATTTCCATTTTTCACCATGTTGGAATAGGATGTTGTCTGCCAGCAGATCACCTTCGTTGATATCCACACCTCTATGATTAAAGGCATTGAAATTTGTGGTTAACACATGTTGGATATTTACAGGATCTCGTACATATAGAGCTGGTGTTACAAATGAACCGATTCCCACTGCTGGTTCATTAGGATATTGCTTGTATATATCGTTAAGATACTCGAACAAGGATCTATTTTTTGTCAGAAAATCCCAAAATATGCCCATTGTCTTATTTCTTTTGTGGAAGGTAACTCCACGTTTTTTCCAGTATCTTTCATTGTATAAACCATTTAAGTAAGCAATGACCAAGATTGAAGTAATAATTAAAAGGAGGGCAAATAACATTTTTACCACGTTTGTACAGTCACGATATTATAATGAATAAATAACTAGAAAATATTACCTTTTTATTACTCTTTATATAAGCAGTTTAGTTCTTTGATATATCTATTATGACTTATATGCTATACTAGCTATCTGCCCTTGCTTCGGTGAGGTGTATTTCTTTCGATACAGAGGCCGAATCTACAAATTTTAGAATTTTTGATTGTCTGTCTGTTACCGCATTACGGAAAAACCACTGGAGGGATTTTAATAAAATTTGGTATGATGATAGCTGGTAGTCCGGGTCAACATACAGGATACTTTTTAGTGCGGGAAAATATCTCATGTCTGAGAAATCGATACTAAACGTTAAAACGTAAGTAGGGTAGAATCCGAGGGAAGCGAGGGTGAGTCGCTAGTATTATATATAGCATATAATTGTAATATTATGAAAATGTGGAAATTGGAAAAAATATATTTGTTTACAATAAAGAATTACAAATATGCATAATTATATATACAAAACAAATGTACACTTAATTATTGCTGTAAAAGTCATGTCCGTGTGGAATAGTGGCAAGAATGCTGGCCGTATTCTCCTCTGGATACTTTAGGCGAATATATAATTATTAGAGGGGAATGACATAGGATTTGTACTTTGGAATGGAAAACTTTTTCCGTATTATAAAAGATAGAATAAAAACTTTTAACTATAACAGTACCATATATAATTCCATATGCATTTAGTTAAAAAATGTTAATTTGACATTACAAACAGACACTTCAATTCTATTTATCTGTATAATATAAAATTCATAAAATATAATTGCGTCTTGTTTTTCTATACATGGGATATAATATATGCTAAGTAATCATGATATAATATAAATAGGATAAATTAAATTATTTGATAGATAAAGACATATTTAAAGCAAGTCATGATGATATAGTAAT